AATTTTAATTTTCTGCATATTTTATGCATATATATTAATTAGTTATATTATTGAAAACATTATATATTGTTTACAGAGTGAAATGTTTAGGTAATCCCGATCGAGAAGGTTCTGTCAGTATTGTAGGTGCTGTATCACCACCAGGTGGTGATTTCTCTGATCCTGTTACTAGTGCAACCTTGGGTATTGTACAGGTACTAATTGAGTTAATATCTATTTTTACATCATTTTTCTTACATTATTATTTTCTCTCCATTGTTTAGGTATTCTGGGGTCTTGATAAAAAACTTGCACAACGTAAACACTTTCCATCAATTAATTGGCTTATTTCATACAGTAAATATCTTCGAGCTTTAGATGATTTCTACGATAAAAATTTTGCAGAATTCGTTCCTTTGAGAACGAAAGTAAAGGAAATCTTACAGGAGGAAGAAGATTTATCAGAAATTGTACAATTAGTCGGTAAAGCTTCTCTTGCGGAGACGGATAAAATTACTTTAGAAGTTGCGAAACTCTTAAAAGATGATTTTTTGCAACAGAACAGGTATAAATTATTTTTTTATTATAATTATTTTTGATCATATATATTAATTTCTATTTTTATTTATTATACAGTTATTCGCCATATGATCGTTTTTGTCCATTTTATAAAACTGTCGGAATGTTACGAAACATGATCGCATTTTACGATATGGCAAGACATGCAGTTGAATCTACGGCACAATCAGATAATAAAATAACATGGAATGTCATTAAGGATAGCATGTACAATATTCTTTATCAATTGAGTTCTATGAAATTCAAGGTAAATATTGTCCTTAGAATAATTTTATTTTTTCATTTTAAAATCTATGATGTAAATTATGTTTTTTTTTTTTTATCTTAGGATCCAGTACAAGATGGTGAAGCAAAAATTAGAGCTGATTTTGATCAATTACATGAAGATATTCAACAGGCATTTAGAAATTTAGAAGATTAATTTTCAAAAACATTTATATAAATTAAGTTCTCTATGTTCAGGAATCTTATGCTGGTCATTTAAGGATGTCCTGGATTTACTGAAACAAAATATAACATTTGTAATTATATATTACACATTAATTAGTTATATTAATTTTCAAGAATTATTAAAAAATTGTATATAAAAAAAATTACAAATATAAAATCCACTATAAATTTATGTGTATAAACCTAATATTTAAACAAAAAACTCATTCATGACGTTAAGCCAATATATATAATAAAGTTATAGGACATCCTTAAATGTATTTCCAATTTCAACAAACATTTATATTAAGTACTATAATTATTAAGTACTATAATGAGTTAATTCATATATGGAATGAATCTATATGTAATTATTTTAAATTGTTGGGATAAATGATGTGATGTCTGGCGAATTAAGCTTCCGATTATTTTATTTTCCGCGAATGGAATTCAATCATGCAAGAATCTGTTTATATAGATAAATAGATTCCTTTTTATGAAGGAATTTTTGTATGTATGCAAAGTTAAAGTAAAAATATCGTAAGAAGCTTCCCATTCATCCATACATTGTTATTCTCTTGAAAAGAAGAAAATAATTGCTTTTTACTTTGTTGTAGCATGGGCTGATGTGGTAGCTTTTTACAAAGGAATGGAATTAAAGAGTATTAAATATTGTATTATAATAGTGTATTATGTAAACGTGTTAAGTGACGAATACAAACGTTACATAAAAGTAGATGTTATTTTAAACGTTGAAATATGGTCTAAAAGTTTAAAAAAAAAGTGTCAAAGTGTTAAAATTATTAAAATGCAAGATCTTTTATCGTTAAAAAGAAACAGTGTTCCAATAACTTCGACATTTCCATTGTATCATATGTAAAAAACGAATAAATATTACGCATAAAAAAATCAAATTTTATTTAAAATTGTTAATGGTTAAATAAAAATACTAATATTTCGATAAATTTCATTTTAATAATAATAATTATAATAATAATAATAATAATAATAATAATAATAATAATAATAATAATATAATATAATATAACAATAACCTTCGCGGTATGTACATTAACGATATATTACAAATCAATATTTAATTCTTTCAATTATTCCAACGCATTTTTATTCAGCGTTTAGAATTATGGGTTGAAAAAAATATGTTTATTGCTATATGTGTTCGTATATGCATATGTACACACACATGTATATATACATATATAAATATATATACACATTTATACGTGTACGATTAATCTATTTTACATTCTCAGTTCCTAGATTATTTTTTTTTTTTTTTATGAAATATGCATTCTATACTTCTGAAAACAGTATTAAAAATAAAAAATATTTAATGATATTTGTAAAGATTCAGTCGTCATACTTTGCATCATAATTATATTATAATAAAACTGTTTTGTCTATTCTCTTTTTTTTTAAATTAATTTTAATTAGTTCATTTAAAATTGCACATCCGAAAAATTCAAATCAATGTTTAATATTCACAGCCTTGGCTCGTTCAAGATACACGAGGTAATTCGATCCAACGCACTCATGCATACATAAAAATAAAATTTTTTTTCATAAGTTTTATGCAACGAACGAATAGATGCAACTTCATTGACATCATTATATAATTATGAATTGTTACCCATAGTGTATTCATGAATATATTAAGATTATAACATTTCAATATTTAATCAAATTATTTAATCAAAAAACAAATATAATTTGATAAAACAAATGACGCTATATTCACATCACGTTATTTAAAAATCAAATAGAGTAGCATAAAGGTATACAAAGTTATGACGGTAATTATGACCATACCGATTAAGACCAATATTTCAAAGAATTTGTATAATTTCAGTGTAATGAAATTTGTTTTGGTTCCCATGAAACCAAAGAGAAAATATTTTTTTTAATCATCGATCAGGTCATATATCCTAATATTTACAAAAAAAAAGCAATATATTATAAACTAACAACTTTAAGGATTCAAACGTCAACGTTCGTTCCTGTAGAGGGCGAGATTTGTGATCTGAGTTGAAGATTCTCACGTTTCAATTGCGCAACAAGTTGTTTCAAAGCAGTTATTTCTTGTCGTAGTTTTTCGTTATCACGTAAACATTGTCCCAATCCCTGATTGGCTGCTCTTAATTCTGTTATATATTCACAAGCTTTTGACAAAATTCCTCCTTTGCTCTGCACAAGAAATCCATAAAAGTATTACTATCTTTATATGTATATTTTTAAAATCACAAATTTAATTTCTTAATTTATTACCTGAGTTTCATAATTTGCCTTTCCTTCACCACTACCACTACCACTTCCATTTGCAGCTGCATTGCATTCAGGAATAATTTTTCCCAATTTTGCAATCCAATTATTTATTTTGTCTCTTCGTCGACGTTCAACTTCATTATGAGTGGCTCTTCTTCTATCATCTCTCTAAAATATTACATATTAATCAAAAGAGATTTCAAAACTTTTTAAAAAATAAACAAGATATTTACCTTCTTTAATACAGTGGTACAATTCCTTGGTGTTTCTATTTGTAAAGTAGTGGTTCTAGGAACCAATGATCTAGAAGCTTGTGCAGTTGTGAAAACATCATTAGCATTTCCAATAACGTAAAACTGACCATTTAATGGGGATGTCAGGACCTGTACAGTGTTATTTCCTGGTTGAGTGACTGGCAGTTCTATTTCATTGCCAGCAGTAGTTCCATTTACTTGAACTACTCTATATGCAAGTGCTTCTTGGTAACGCATTCCATCTTCTGCAACAGTTTCTCCTACAAAAAATTCATATTTCAAATTATATATTTATAATAATTAGTAAATATAATTAATTATCAATCATATGTAAATTAACAATTTTTGAAAAACATATTTTTAAATGTTCATGACAAAAATATATTTACCTTCGCAGTCTACGATTTCCGCTTCTTCAATAACAATTCCTGTGCCACCGTCATCCTTTGCGTTAACAGTACTGTAAAACAAACATAAGTACATTGAAGAATGGATATGTAAATTATCTTTAGAGTTACGTCTATGCCTATTACTTCCACGACCGTTGTCCTAAGTCTTGTAAGTGCGCACTGTGCACTACGTGATGACCTTGAGGAGACCTCGAGCGAAACAGGAGGGATAGGTGTTCGCATTATCAGCCAGTCGATATTTAACATAAACACTACCTGACATCCTGTTGTTCGAGATGCTGCTCCAAAATATCCATTTTTTTTTCTACCAAAAACGTTTGAATTTGTCAAAATTCACGTGAGCTGGTCACGGGACACGGCAACGAGGTCATGTGGTGCACAAGATGGCGATTTCTGATTACTACGCCACCTTACATCATATGAATTTACAATTTAAAATTTATCAAATATACCGATTATTGGTAATTAAAATTATCTACTTTATCATTTTAGATAAAATTTTTTTTTTGTTTTATAATATCAAAAATAAAGTTTTTTAAATAGAATAGTATATTTTAACTAATATCTAATATAAAAAATTATAAGATTTTTAAATAATATGTATAAAAGAAAATAAGATTAAAAAATAAAATAAAAATAAACATTTGTTTAATGAAAACTTTCTTTGTCGTACTTGTAACAAAATAAAATCTATAAAAACAAAAACTTAACCTGTACACATTAACTTCATCTAATATTGTTTTAAAAAAAAATATATAAGCATATATTGGACATAGAGGATTTAAAATGATTACATAATATTTCAAAATTTATGGTAAAAATTAATAAAATGAAAAAATATATGAAATTTTATTTTTATCTGAAATAATTATATCAAATAATTATTAATTTCTGAAAAAATAAATCAAATATTAAAAAAAATATTTGAGAATTTATTTATTCATAATCATAATTACAATAAATATGAACAATAAATTTTCTATTGAAACTTGTAATTAAAATTATATATTAAACTAAATATTCTTAATGAGCAATTACAATATATTTTTTTAATACATATTTACATTTTATATATTTTTATATATTAGAGAACATTAAAATATTCATTAATATAGTAGATTTTTAGAAATCATAAAACAAATATAAATGTTGATACAAAAAAATCAAATTAAGAATTATTTATTAAATTATAAATAATTTTTGTTATTATTAAATTAGATAAAGTAAAACGAAGATAGAGAAGTAGCAATGTGACGAAAATAAAATTCTACTTGATCTATCTGTCTCGCTTTATCTAACTCAAATTTCAATTTCTTATAACTTAATAAATAAACCTCAAAACTGATATTCTTGTACTTATTTACATATATCAGCTTTTATATTTGTTTTGGTCTTTAAAATCAACTTTCCGAAGATAAGTTCCACGAATATTAGCGGATTATATTAACACCCTGTATATATAATTATCTTTTTATATATAAAATTAAAAAATTTCTGATGATTTAAATGATAAAGATTTTATTATGTTACATTAAATTGAAGCTAAATTTAAATAAAGAAAGTATTTTCGTTTTACATTTTTAGAACATATTTGAAAATTTGAAAGTCATTCCAAAGATCAGAGTAAATACGAATGGCAGGAACTGCAACGGATCCTGCAATAGTTTGATTGGTCAATGAAATACAGTTCATCATGGAGTACGTCGGTACGTGCTAACTTGACGATTTTCGTGTTTTTATTAATAATTTTTATTCAATAAATATCTTTCATCATTGTTTTTTATATTTGTTTTTAATTATTTTAAGTATAATTAATATCTACTTTCCGAAAAAATTATATTATAAAATATTACAGTGAACAATTGTATATATTGAATTAGTTTCGTGAAAATAATCATTATTTTCATAGAATTTTTTATAAATTTAGTTTTAAATTGTTTAAAAAATATAGTATTCGACATCTATTAATTTTATTAATGATTTGTGTTTTTCCTGTTTTTCATTAATATGTGTCATTCTAAACATAACCTTCTCATTCATAAAATTTTTTCTTTTATAATTTACACCATTTTTGAATTTTTATTTTTTTTTATACTCTACTAATTATTTTTATTAAAAATAACTGTATTCTTATTTACATGAAGTTATATTATATTTGATATAATAATGTAAATATATATTTGAAATATATACATTAAATTTTTCATATTTTATAGATGCTGCAAAAAGTGAAAGCAACGACAACTCTTGTAACTCAACTTCTTATACTGAATTAGTGTCAAACACAAATTCTAATGAAAATTTATTGATAGAAACAAAAGATTCAACATCAAAATATGAGATTCAAGATATACAAAAAACAGATAGTAATATTGCAACTACCTCGCAAGATCCACCCCAAGAGAATATAGACTTCAAAGTAATTTATAATAAGCAAAGGATTAATGTAAATTTTCCACTTGATGGTACAGTGGCAGAATTAAAGGCTCATCTTCAAAACATCATATCTGTGCCTCAAGCTATGCAAAAAGTTATGATTAAAGGATTAGCCAAAGATGAACAAACATTAAGAAGTTTGGGTGTCACAAAAGGTAATTTTTATAATATGATAAAATTTTATTCTTAAAAAAATAATTTAAAAAATTGATTTTTAATATATATTTTTTATTATAATAATAATTTTAAGGTGCCAAAGTTATGGTAGTAGGATCAAAATTAGATGATGTATTAGCCATTTCAATTCCAACAAAGCAGGACTTATCAGATGAAGCTGCTTCCACTACAAATAAGGAACCTTTATCTCAACAGAAAATGCATAGGAAAGTATTAGATAAAGGTATGCCAGATGATGTGATGCCTGGTATATTAGATAGTAAGGTAAGATTTATTTATATTAATTAAAATAATAATTTTTATGTCTATATTATTAAATTAATTATTAGTATTATATTATAATTAATTTAATTCTAGGAACCACTACCAGAATTTCCATTGGCTGGCATGTTAAATAAATCTGGTGGTAAAGTTAGATTAACATTTAAATTGGAACAAGATCAGCTTTGGATTGGTACAAAAGAAAGAACAGATAAAATACCTATGAATTCCATAAAAGGTGTTCACAGTGAACCAATACATGATCATCCAGAATATCATATTATGGTTTGTTAATTTCATAATTTCAGAATTACATTATTATAAATTATTCTATTCTACTTGAAATATTAAGTTCGAGTTTTATAATATTTTATTAATATCTGGAATATTAATATAAAAGCAAATGATTTACGTAAATATTTTTTTAAATTTTAGGCTATACAACTAGGCACGACTGAGGCTTCGAGATATTGGATATATTGGGTTCCTGCGCAATATATATCGGCTATAAAAGATGCTATTCTTGGCAAGTGGTGCTACTTCTGATCAAATATTGAAGGAAATTTCTGTCTTTTCAAAAACAAAGCGTAATCAGGTGTAAGCATTGATACAAACACGACTGTACTAGTCACACATTTTTAACAGTAAGTAACTTATTTTGCGTTGGATAATAATTGATATGTTCTAATAAAAATATTCTATTAAGGAAATTTTCTTAGATAATTTTTAATTTTGTTAAAAATAATGGTAAAATTATTTTATAGAAATTGACTTGTATTTAAATATACTTTAAAATCGTAATTTCTTTAAAAAATGTTTATATGATATTGTGATTTTTGGATTTATTATTATTATTAACATTTTTTAATATATTGAATTAATACTGTAACTGTAACTTTTCTCTCTTGATTTCTCTGAATCATATGTAAGATTTGTAAATATAATAAGTTTTTTTAAGTTTTAAAAGAAAATATGTTTATATTTAAAAAAAAAACATTTTATTATGCTAGGGAAAAAAATTATCATTTTAATAAACAAAGGCTTTTTGATTCTTACAAAAATATATTTATATTAAAAAAAATGTTTTATTATTTTAAGAAAAAAAAGAATTGACATTTAAAAGACCAGATAAAAGCATTTCATCTTTTTTGTTTATTTAAATAGGAAAACTTAAATTTTAAAAATAAAAGTGAAATATTTGTAAAATTACATTTATAGGAGGAAGTGAAGAAAGAAGTTATGATGTTGCATTTACAATCTTTTGAAGTTCGTCGAGAAATAATTCAACTTTTACTATATTTAACAATATTAAATATAATATATAGATTAAAATTATAATAATTTAAATATTCAAAAAAATGAATTGTTTTATATTTTTATAAATTTATTTTCTTAAATGTTACATTAAAGACAAAACTGTTGCAAATTAATTTGACTTAATTAAAAAAGAATTAAAGAATACGAATTATAAATAGCATTCATCAAATTGCAATAAATTAAGTTATCAAGAAATATAGTCCGCATTTTATATGAATAAAAAATGTAATAATAGCAATGTTCGATTAAAAAACAACGAATTTGTCAAAATATAATTGCACACGTCTTGATATTGGCCTACATATAAGACAAAAAATTGTTTAGAAAAATATGAATTATATCAAAATTTTATTATATTCTAAAATTCAAGTGGACTGTATATCTCGACGAGCGTAAATTATCACATAACGTTAGTATTATAACTGCTGTAAATTAGGTTTTATACTGTATAACATGTACAACTGAAAAAATGAGAATTTGAAAACAACAAATCAAACTTGTATTTATTATAATATCTATATGAAATTCATAACTATTTGCACATTTGAAAAATTCAATGTCCATTTAAAATAAGACTTGTACATCATGTTGTGTGATTTGATAAAAAATAAACAATTTTCTTCTTTATTGTATTGTTTTTTTTTTTTTTCATTTACTTATATATAAGTTCAATTAAAACAAATATTTATTATTAATTTTATATATTAAAGTATTTGTTAATTTAAATATATCAAATATGTAATTTCAAAAATGTAAAGTTTGGGTTTATTATTTGTATAATTAAAGAATATTTAAATCTATTCATATTTATCCAATAGATATGTGAATAAGAAGTTTTCTATTAAATTTTTAAATTATTCAAAGCTAAGTAAACTCATGCACTTTATTGGATATAAATAAATGTAAGAATTATTTGGAAAATCCTTGAATCAGAATTAATTATAAACTTTCACATTCTTGTGAAATGTTTTACTTAAACGGTTCAAGGTTTAAAATAGTATTTGTATGTGTTACACAAATGATGTTCTATATGTAAGATAATGTATATATATAGTATGTATAGTTTGTGGCAATCTCTTTTTATATCATTAATATTATTTAAATTAACGTCATTTTTTTATTTTTCTTCGAACGTCATTTTCATATTTCGTATAGATAATAAAATACCACGTCAATTCACTATTATTAATATGAATATATTTCTAACCAAC